AAAACCCCAAAATTCCCCCCAAAAAGCCCCAAAATTCCCCAGATTTGGCTCTGACCGTGCAGGCCGAGGATGGGGGGGCTCAGGGGGGGCGGGTTGGGGAAGGTGAAGCGCACGGAATATTCCCGGGGGCGCCGCAGCAGCTCCGGGGCCTCGGCCGAGCCCTCGGAGGGCGCCCGGCGCCGGCACTTCTGCTGCTTGCGGGTCAGCGCCTCCTTCGTCTGCTTCTCCTGCAAAACGGGGGGAATTTGGGGGGTTTTGGGGAAATTCGGGGGTTTTGGGGAATTTTCAGGGAATTTTGGGGGAATTTCAGGCATTTTTGGGCCATTTTCAGGGGGGTTTTGGGGGTTTCTGGGGGTTTTTAAAGGGGTTTTTGGGGAATTTCAGCGGGTCAGCGCCTCCTTCGTCTGCTTCTCCTGCAACGTTTTGGGGAAATTTCAGGAAATTTGGGGATTTTTGGGGGTTTTCGGGGAATTTCAGACATTTTTGGGCCATTTTCAGGGGGGTTTTGGGGGATTTTTGGGGTTTTTCGGGGATTCTGGAGGTGATTTTGGGGGGTCAGCGCCTCCTTCGTCTGCTTCTCCTGCAACATTTTTGGGGAATTTCAGCATTTGGGAAATTTTGGGGGTTTTGGGAAATTTTGGGGGTTTTGGGAAATTTTGGGGGTTTTTCTGGGATTTTTGGGGAATTTTCAGGGAATTTTCAGAGAATTTCAGGCATTTTTGGGGGGATTTTGGGGTTTTTTTTGGATTCTGGAGGGGATTTCGAGGGGTCAGAGCTGCCTTGATCTGCTTCTCCTGCCACGTTTTGGGGAATTTGGGGGAAATTTGAGATCTTTGGAGGATTTTCCAGAAATTGCGTGGATTTGGGGGATTTTTTTGGGGTATTTTTGGGGATTTTGGGCCCCTCACCGCCTGCTTGGTGGATTTCCCCCCGGCTTTGAGGTCCCTCAGTTTCTTCTCCTGTTTCTCGAATTGTTTCAGCAGCTCCTTCTGCTTCTGCTGGTACATCTTCTTAAAGGTCACTGAAAACAGAAATTTTCTTCCATTTCCAGCAATTCTCCTCAATTTTCAGCAATTTTCCAGGATTTTCAGCAATTTTCCTCGATATTCAGCAATTTTCCCCAATTTTCAGGAATTTTCCACAATTTTCAGGAATTCTGGGGCTGCTCCCCACCCCTCCAATTCCCATTTTCCCTTTTTTTTGTTTGCTCCCAAAATTCCCAATTTTCCCCTCCCATTCCCCATTTTTTCCCAATTTTCCATCCTTTTTTTCCTGTTTCCATTCCCAATTTTCCCAATTCCCATTCCCTGCTTTTTCCCTATTTTTACCCATTTTTCCCTGTTTTTTTTTTCCCATTTTGTTTCAGTTTTTCCTAATTTTTTTGCCATTTTTTCTTTTTTTTCTCTATTTTTCCCGTTTTTTCCCGTTTTTTCACAATTTCACCCCAATCTCACTGTAGCTGCCCCTGTAGCAGTGCATTTCTGGGCGTCCAGGTGGACCAGCTCCCATTCCCCCATTTTTTTGGCTGTTTTTTCCCCGTTTTTTCCCGGGCTTTTTTCCATTATTTCAATTTTTCCCATTTTTCCCAATTTCCCCGTTTTTCACCCCAATCTCACTGCAGTTCCCCCCAGTAGCAGTGCAGTTTCTGGGCATCCAGGTGGACCAGCTCCCATTCCCCCATTTTTTGCCCTTTTTTCCCCATTTTTAGCCCGTTTTTTCCAGTTTTTTTTTCCGTTTTTCCCCGTTTTTTCCCATTTTTCCCGATTTCCCCGTTTTTCACCCCAACAGATCAGCTCCCGTTCCCCCATTTTTTGGCTGTTTTTTCCCCTTTTTTTCGCTGTTTTTTGCCGTTTTTTCCCGTTTTTCCCAATTTCCCCGTTTTTCACCCCAATCTCACTGCAGTCCCCCCCAGTAGCAGTGCAGTTTCTGGGCATCCAGGCAGATCCGCTCCCGTCCCCCCTTTTTTTGGCTGTTTTTTCCCCTTTTTTTCGCTGTTTTTTGCCGTTTTTTCCCGTTTTTCCCAATTTCCCCGTTTTTCACCCCAATCTCACTGTAATTCCCCCGGTAGCAGTGCAGTTTCTGGGCGTCCAGCTGGACCAGCTCCCATTCCCCCATTTTTTGGCTGGTTTTTCCCCATTTTTTCCCCGTTTTTTCCCGGGTTTTTTTCCATTATTTCAATTTTTCCCGTTTTTCCCGATTTCCCCGTTTTTCGCCCCAATCTCACTGTAGTTGCCCCGGTAGTAGTGCAGTTTCTGGGCGTCCAGGTGGATGATGTCGGTGCAGACGTCGTCCAGGAAGCCCTGGTCGTGCGACACCACCAGCAGCGTCTTCTTCCAGCTCTGCAGGTAGCTGGGACGGGGCGAAAAACCGGGGTTTTGGGAAAAATGGGATTTGGGGGGAAAATAAGGGATTTGGGGGAAAAACGGGGATTTGGGGGGAAAAAAATGGGGATTTTGGGGAAAAACGGGGATTTTGGGGAAAAGTAGGGACTTTGGGGGAAAAAAAGGGGGATTTTTGAGGAAAAAAATGGGATTTGGGGAAAAAAAACAGGGATTTTGGGGGAAAAATGGGGATTTTGGGAAAAAAACCAAGGATTTTTGAGAAAAGAAAATAGGATTTGGGGAAAAAAACGGGGATTTTGGGGAAAAAATGGGGATTTTGGGGGAAAAACGGGGATTTCCCAAAAAAACATAGGAATTCAGGGAGAAAAATGGGAATTTGAGGGGAAAATAGGAATTTTGGGGGGAAAAATGGGAATTTAAGGGGAAAAAATGGGGATTTTAGAGGCAAAAAATGGGGATTTTGGGGAAAAAATGAAGATTTTAGGGAAAAAATCAGAATTTTGGGGGGGGAAATGGGAATTAAATGGGAATTCCCCAAAATTTCCTGAAATTCTCAGAAATTTCCTCAAATTTTCAGAAATTAAAAAATAATTCCCCAAAATTTCCTGAAATTTCACCAAAATTCCACAAAATTCTCTGAAATGCCCCAAAAACTCCCTCAAAACCCCCAAAATTCTCCAAGAATCTCTGGAATTCCGGGGAAAAAAAACAGGGATTTTGGGGGAAAAATGGGGATTTTGGGAAAAAAAAAAGGGAATTTGGGGGGAAAACAGGGATTTGGGGAAAAAACGGGGAATTTGGGAGAAAAACAGGGATTTGAGGGAAAAAAACGGGGATTTTGGGGGAAAAATGGGGATTTTGGGAAAAAAACCAAGGATTTTTGAGAAAAGAAAATAGGATTTGGGGAAAAAAACGGGGATTTTGGGGAAAAAATGGGGATTTTGGGGGAAAAACGGGGATTTCCCAAAAAAACATAGGAATTCAGGGAGAAAAATGGGAATTTGAGGGGAAAATAGGAATTTTGGGGGGAAAAATGGGAATTTAAGGGGAAAAAATTTGGGGGAAAAATGGGGATTTGGGGAAAAAACCAGGGGATTTTGGGGAAAAAAGGGGATTTTGGGGAAAAAATGGGGATTTTGGGGGAAAAACGGGGATTTCCCAAAAAAACATAGGAATTCAGGGAGAAAAATGGGAATTTGAGGGGAAAATAGGAATTTTGGGGGGAAAAATGGGAATTTAAGGGGAAAAAATGGGGATTTTAGAGGCAAAAAATGGGGATTTTGGGGAAAAAATGAAGATTTTAGGGAAAAAATCAGAATTTTGGGGGGGGAAATGGGAATTAAATGGGAATTCCCCAAAATTTCCTGAAATTCTCAGAAATTTCCTCAAATTTTCAGAAATTAAAAAATAATTCCCCAAAATTTCCTGAAATTTCACCAAAATTCCACAAAATTCTCTGAAATGCCCCAAAAACTCCCTCAAAACCCCCAAAATTCTCCAAGAATCTCTGGAATTCCATAAAACTCCCCCAAAACTCCTGAAATTATTAAAAAGTTCCCAAAAAATTCCCTAAAATTCACAAAAAACCCCTGAAATTCCCCAAAAAATCCCTGAAATTCCCCAAAAAATCCCTGAAATCCCCCCAAAAAACCCCAAAATTCCTCCTCAAAAAAACCCAGAAATCTTTAAGAAAATCCTAAAACCATTTTTTAAAAAGTTCCAAAAAACCAAAAAAAAAGAAATCCAAAGAAATCCATTAAAAATCCCCAAAAAAAGCCAAAAATACACCCAAACATCCCCCAAAAATTCTCAAAAAAATCCTCAAAAAATCCCTGAACTCCCCAAAATGCCCCAAAATGCCCCAAAATGCCCCAAAATGCCCCAAAATTTGGTTTTTCCCTCACTTGTTGAGCCAGATGACGGCGTTCAGGTCCAGGTGATTCGTGGGCTCGTCCAACATCAGCAGCGTCGGCTCCAGGAACAGGGCCCTGGGGGGGGCACACCTGAGACACCTGAGACACACCTGGGCACACCTGGGGACACACCTGAGAGACACCTGAGCCACACCTGGGGACACCGGGGATACACCTGATCTCACCTGTTCCCACCTGAGCTCACCTGGCCAGGCTGACTCTCATCCTCCATCCCCCCGAGAACTTCCTGGTGGCCCGGTTCTGCATCTCGGGGGTGAAGCCCAGCCCCGCCCAGCCCTGGGCTCACCTGACACACCTGAGCTCACCTGTGCACACCTGTGCTCACCTGGCCAGGCTGACTCTCATCCTCCATCCCCCCGAGAACTTCCTGGTTGCTCTGTTCTGCATCTCGGGGGTGAAGCCCAGCCCCTAAACCCCTCACCTGTACACACCTGACACACCTGACACACCTGTGCACACCTGAGCTCACCTGTGCACACCTGTCCTTACCTGGCCAGACTCACTCTCATCCTCCATCCCCCCGAGAACTTCCGTGTCGCTCGGTTCTGCATCTCGGGGGTGAAGCCCAGCCCCTAAACCCCTCACCTGACACACCTGAGCTCACCTGACACACCTGTGCACACCTGAGACACACCTGTGCTTACCTGGCCAGGCTGACTCTCATCCTCCATCCCCCCGAGAACTTCCTCGTGGCTCGGTTCTGCATCTCGGGGGTGAAGCCCGGCCCTGGGGCTCACCTGTGCACACCTGTGCACACCTGACACACCTGTGCTTACCTGGCCAGACTCACTCTCATCCTCCATCCCCCCGAGAACTTCCTGGTCGCTCGGTTCTGCATCTCGGGGGTGAAGCCCAGCCCCGCCAGGATCCGCCGCGCTTTGGCCTCGGCGGCGGCGGCGCCGATGGCGCGCAGCTCCTCGTACACCTGCGCAGGTGAGAGCCTCGCCTGGGGCTGCGGGTCCCACCCAGGGCTCCGCTGCCCCACGTGTGCCCCAGTGACCCCCAGGTGTGCCCAGGTGTGCCCAGGTGTGCCCCAGTGACCCCCAGGTGTGCCCAGGTGTGCCCAGGTGTGCCCCTACTACCCCCAGGTGTGCCCAGGTGTGTTCCCAATGCCCCCAGCCACCCCCAGGTGTGCCCAGGTGTGTCCAAGCCATCCCCAGGTGTCCCCAGGTGTATCTCAGGTGTGCCCAGGTGTGCCCAGGTGTATCTCAGGTGTGCCCAGGTGTGCCCAGGTACCTTCTCCAGCCGTTCCGCGGCCGCGTCGTCGCCGCTCTCCAGCAGCGCCTGCAGGCGCCGCTCCTCGTCCAGGAGCCGCAGGCGCTTCGTGTCGGCACGGAGCACGGCATGGACGGCAGGTGTGTCATCGGCCAAAACCTCTACAGGTAACACAGGTAACACACAGTCACACACAGGTAACACACAGTGACACACAGCGCTTCGTGTCGGCACGGAGCACGGCGTGCACCGCAGGTGTGTCATCGGCTAACACCTCTGGACAGGTGAGAGACAGGTAACAGACAGGTGAGATACACAGGTAAATACACAGATAAATACAGGTAACACACAGTGACACACAGTGACACACAGGTAACACACAGGTAACACACAGGTAACACACAGTCACACACAGTGACACACAGCGCTTCGTGTCGGCACGGAGCACGGCATGGACGGCAGGTGTGTCATCAGCTAACACCTCTGGGACAGGTGAGAGACAGGTAACACACAGGTAAATACACAGGTGACACACAGGTGACACACAGGTAAACACAGGTAAACACAAATAAACACAGGTGACACACAGGTGACACACAGGTAAACACAGGTAAACACAAATAAACACAGGTGACACACAGGTGACACACAGGTGACACACAGGTGACACACAGGTGTGCCACCAGCCAGCATCTCTGTGACAAATCCAGGTGAGACAAAAAAGGAACAGGTGAGATCCCAGCTGTGCCCAGGTGTACCCTAGGTGCTCCCAGGTGTACCCCAGGTGTGCCCAGGTGTGCCCAGGTGTATCTCAGGGGTATCTCAGGGGGATCTCAGGTGCGCCCAGGTGTGCCCAGGTGGGTCTCAGGTGTATTCCCCAAAAACCCCGGAATTTTCCCCAAAAACCCCGGAATTTTCCCCAAAAACCCCGGAATTTTCCCCAAAAACCCCGGAATTTTCCCCAAAAACCCCGGAATTTTCCCCAAAAACCCCGGAATTTTCCCCAAAAACCCCGGAATTTTCCCCAAAAACCCCAGAATTAACCCCAAAAACCCCGGAATTTTCCCCAGCTGCCCAGGATTAACCCCGAATTCCCCGGATTGCCCAAACCCGCCGTTTCTCGGCCCGCTCTGACCCGTTGGGCCCCACGAGGCCGTAGCGGCGCCCGGCCACGATGAAGAGGTCGGCGTTGACGAAGAGATCCTTGCCGTGCGCCGAGATGCTGAACTTCTCCAGCTGGAACGGGGAAAACACGGCAAAAACGGGAACAACGGGTGAAAAACCGGGAAAAACGGGATAAAAACCAGAAAAAACGGGAAAAATGGGGTGAAAAACCGGAAAAAATGGGAAAAACGGGGTGAAAAACCAGAAAAAACGGGAAAAATGGGGTGAAAAACCGGAAAAAACGGGAACAACGGGTGAAAAACCGGAAAAACGGGAACAACGGGATAAAAAACCAGAAAAAACGGGAAAAATGGGGTGAAAAACCAGAAAAAACGGGAAAAACGGGATAAAAAACCAGAAAAAACGGGAACAACGGGTGAAAAACCGGGAAAACCGGGAAAAACGGGATAAAAAAACAGACAAAACGGGAAAAATGGGGTGAAAAACCAGAAAAAACGGGAAAAATGGGATAAAAAAACAGAAAAAACGGGAAAAATGGGGTGAAAAACCAGAAAAAACGGGAAAAATGGGGTGAAAAACCAGAAAAAACGGGAAAAACGGGATGAAAAACCAGAAAAAACGGGGTGAAATGGGGGGAAAATGGGGAAAAACTGGATAAAATGGGGAAAAAATGGGGAAAAATGGGGGAAAACGGAGAAAAAAGAGGGAAAAAATGGGGGGAAAAAGGGGAAAATGGGGGGAAATGTGGGAAAAATGAGACGAAAATGAGATAAAATGGGGGAAAGATAGGGAAAAATGGGGGGGAAAATGGGGAAAAAATGGGGAAAAAGGGAAAAAATGTGGGAAAATGGGGGGAAATGTGGGAAAAATGAGACGAAAATGAGATAAAATGGGGGAAAGATAGGGAAAAATGGGGGGGAAAATGGGGAAAAAATGGGGAAAAAGGGAAAAAATGTGGGAAAATGGGGGGAAATGGGGGAAAAAATGTAGGGAAAAATGTGGGGGAAATGGAAAAAATCAAGAAAAAAATGAAGAAACAATGGGAGGTGAAAAAACCAGAAAATGGGAAAAAATGGGGGGAAAGTGGAAAAAATAGAGAAAAAATGAGAACAATTGGGGGGAAATGGAAAAAAATAGGAAAAAATGGGAAAAAAATTGGAAAAAGTGGGGGAGGGAATAGGAAAAAATGAGGAAAAAATGAGGAAAAAAACCACGGAAAACCAGAAAAATGGCGGGGGGGACACAAAATAGGAAAAAGTTACCAAAAAACCCACAGAGAAATACGAAAAATATGGGGAAAATATCGAAAAGATGGAAAAAATGAGGAAAATAAGAAAAAATGGGGAAAAAACCCACCAAAAAATGGGAACCCCACGTGGGTTTTGAGATCCCCAGGTACATTTTGGGTCCCCCAGGTAATTTTCACCCCGCCTAGGTGAGTTTATGCCCGCCCAGGTGTATTTTAGCCCCACCCAGGTGTGCCCAGGTGCATTCTGGCCCCGCCCAAGTGTATTTTAACTCCTCCCAGGTGTATTTTAGCCCCGCCCAGGTGTGTTTCACCCTGCCCAGGTGTGCCCAGGTATATTTCAGGCCCCACCCAGGTGTATTTTAGCCCCGCCCAGGTGTGTCAAGCCCCGCCCAGGTGTATTTTGTCCCCGCCCAGGTGTATTTTAGCCCCGCCCAGGTGCGTTCTGGCCCCGCCCAGGTGAGCCCGGGTGTATTTTAACCCCGCCCAGGTGCAGTCTGGCCCCGCCCAGGTGTGCCCAGGTGCGTTCTGGCCCCGCCCAGGCGCGTTTGGCCCCGCCCAGGTGAGCCCGGGTGTATTTTAACCCCGCCCAGGTGCGTTTGGCCCCGCCCAGGTGTGCCCAGGTGTGCTTAGCCCCGCCCAGGCGCGCGTTGCACCCCCCAGGTGTGCCCAGGTGCAGTCTGGCCCCGCCCAGGTGTGCCCAGGTGTATTTTAACCCCGCCCAGGTGTGCTTGGCCCCGCCCAGGTGCGTTTGGCCCCGCCCAGGTGCAGTCTGGCCCCGCCCAGGTGTGCCCAGGTGTATTTAACCCCTCCCCAGTGTATTTTGGCCCCGCCCAGGTGCAGTCTGGCCCCGCCCAGGTGTGCCCAGGTGTATTTTAACCCCGCCCAGGTGTGCTTGGCCCCGCCCAGGTGCGTTTGGCCCCGCCCAGGTGCAGTCTGGCCCCGCCCAGGTGTGCCCAGGTGTATTTAACCCCTCCCCAGTGTATTTTAGCCCCGCCCAGGCGCAGTCTGGCCCCGCCCAGGCGTGCCCAGGTGTGCTCAGCCCCGCCCAGGCGCGTGTGGCCCCGCCCAGGCGTGCCCAGGTGTGCCCAGCCCCGCCCAGGCGCACCTTGATGTCGGAGGCGTTCTCCAGCATGGCCTGGCGCGAGGAGAGCTCGGCCTGCGACACCGCGAAGTCGCCCTCGCCCGTCATGGCCGCCGCGCGCAGCGACGCCACCTGCCGCTCAAACTCCGCCTGGGCGGGGCCGCGCGTCAGGCCACGCCCACCGGGACACGCCCACAAAGGTAACACCGCCCCAACATGGCCGCTGCCCACGGTGAGGTCACCTGCCGCTCAAACTTGGCTGGGGCGGGGCCAAAAATCAAGCCACGCCCATCAGGGGCACGCCCACCGGGGCATGGCCATATAGGGGAATGGTCTTGGGGAAAAGCCACGCCCACATGTTTGGACACGCCCCTAGAAAGTTCACAACCCCAGGCCACACCCAGTTAGGCCACGCCCATGGGAAGCCACACCCACTTAGACCACGCCCACAAAGACCCACACTCATTAAACCACACTCAGTTAGGCCACACCCCCAAATAGCCACACCCTGTTAAGCCACACCCACACAAAACAACATTTAGACCACACCCAGTTAGGCCACACCCACAAATAACCACACCCCACTAGGCCACACCCACTAAGAACCACACCGAATTAATCCATACCCACTAAACCACACCCAGTTAGGCCACACCCACTAAGAGCCACACCCAGTTAAGCCACACCCCCAAACCCCCTGCCCACTTTGGCCACGCCCACAATAAGCCACACCCAATTTGCCCACACCCATCAAACCACACCCAGTTTGGCCACGCCCACCAAGCCATGCCCTGTTAAGCCCCACCCACTGTTGAAGCCCCGCCCCCGCCGAGGCCCCGCCCCCTCACCTGCTTCTTCATTTTCTTCTTCTCCTTCTTGCTGAGGCGCGCGTCCGGCCCCGCCCGCGGCCCCGCCCCCTCCTCGTCCTCCTGGGGCACCAAAATCGTCCAAAAATGACCCAAAAGGGGAAAAAATAACAAAAAACAGCAGAAAATGACCCAAAATCGCCCTGCAATAACCTCAAAATGTCCCAAAAACAGCAAAAAATAACCCCAAAATATCCCCCAAATCATCCCAAAATGGGCAAAATAGCCAAAAACAGCAAAAAATGAACAAAAAATAACCAAAAGTAACCCAAAAATAACCTAAAATAACCTCAAAATATCCCCAAAATAACCTCAAAACAGCTCAAAATAACCCCCAAATGTCCCAAAAATAACCCCAAATAACCCTAAAATATCTCCAAAATAACCCAAATTATCCAAAAATAGCCAAAAATGGCCAAAAATAACCCAATATAACCCAAAATAACCCCAAAATATCCCAAACATTGTCCAAAAATATAAAAAACAGCCCCAAATATCCCCCAACACCCACAAAATATCTCCAAAAAACATCCAAAATATCCTAAAATAACCCAAAATATTCCCAAAGTACACCAAAATAGCAGCAAATTATTTAAAAAGTTCTAAAAAATTCCAAAATGACCCAAATTACCCAAAAATATCCTGAAATATCTCAAATAAAACCCAAAACCAACCCAAAATATCCCCAAAACAGCCCAAATTAACCCCAAGAACCCCAAAATACTCCAAAATATCCCGACACAACCTCAAGATGTCCCCAAAAAACCCCAAAATATCCCAAAAAACTCCAAAATATCCCAAGTTTGCCCCAAAATATCCTAAGTTTGCCCCAAAATGTCCTAAAATAACCCCCAAAATAACCCAAAACGTCTCAAAATCCCCAAAATTCCCCAAAATCCCCAAAATTCCCCAAATTCCCCCCAATCTCACGTTCTCGCTTCCCTTCCGGGCTCCTTCCTCCTCCTCTTCCTCCTCCTCTTCCTCATCCCTCAGGGCCCCGAATTTGTTCTGTCCAAAACGGGGAAAAAAATCCAAATTTTGGGGTCTCACCCCCCCAAAAATCCACAAATTTTGGCATTTCCCCCCAAGAAAAACCAAAAAATCCCCCAAATTTTGTGGTTTCCCCCAAAAAACACCAACTTTTGGGGTCCCACCCCAAAAAAAAAATAAAATTCCCAAACAGTTTGGGGTTTGCCCCCCAAAAAAACCCAAATTTTGGGTTTCTCCCCCCAAAAAACTCCAAATTTTGGGTTTCTCCCCCCAAAAAACTCCAAATTTTGGAGTCTCACCCCCAAAAACTCCCAAAGTTTGGGGTTTCCCTCCCAAAAACACCCCCAAATTTTGGAGTCTTCCCCCTAAAACCCCCCAAAAATCTCAAATTTTGGGGTTTTCTCCTCAAAAAACTCCAAGTTTTCGTGTTTCCCCCCCAAAAACTCCCAAATTTTGGGTTTTCCTCCTAAAAAACCCCCAAATTTTGGGGTTTCCATCCCAAAACCCCCCAAATTTGGGTTTTTTCCCCCAAAATCCCCCAAATTTGGGGTTTTTCCCCCAAAATCCCCACCCCCCCGCACCTTCCTGCCCGGGGCCTCCTCGGAGCCTTCGGCCTCGTCCTCATCATCGCTGGGGGGCCTTCCCTGAGGGATTCGGGGACAAAAATGAGAAAAAAACCCAAAATTTGGGACATTTTGGGTGCCCCAAATTGGGGAGATGTTAAAAAATAGGGGAAATCCGAAAAAATTGGGAAAAAAACCCCAAAAATTGGGGGAAATCCCCAAGAATTGGGGAAAAAAATCCCAGAAATTGGGGGAAAATCCCCAAAAACTGGGGAAAATACAAATAATTGAGCAAAAACCCCCAAAATTGGGGAAAATCCCCAAAAACTGGGGAAAATAAAAACAAAATTAGGGAAAAATCCCCAAAAATTGGGGAAAATCCCCAAAATTGGGGAAAAAAAACCCCTGAAAATTGTGAAAAAATCCCCAAAATTGGGAAAAAATCCCCAAAAGTTGGGGGAAACCCCCAAAATTGAGGAAAAATGCCCCTGAAATTGGGGGAAATCCCCAAAATTGGGAAACATCCCCAAAATGGAGGGAAATCCCCAAAAATGGGGAAAAAAGCCACAAAAATTGAGGAAAAATCCCCAAAAAGGGGAAAAACTCCCCAAAAATTGAGAAAATTCCCGAATTCTGCACCTGCTTCTTCCCCTTGGGCTTCTCCTTTTTCAGGTTTTTCTTCTTCTTCTTCTCAGCCTCCTCTTCCTCCTGCAAAAGTCCCAAAATTTTGGGGGTTTTTTTGGATTTTAAGATTTTTTTGAGGGATTTTTGGGTTTTTTGGGGGAGATTTTGGCGTTTTATCCCAGAAATTTTGGTTTTTTTTCCCAGAAATTTTGGTTTTTTTCCCCTCAGCCACCCCCACCTTGCTGCTTTTGCCCTTGGCTGCTTTTTTCTCCTTCTCTTCCTCCTCCTCCTCCTCCTCTTCCTCGCTCTGCTCCTGGTTCAGCGCAGCAAAAACATTTCCACCCTAAAAATAAACCCAAAACCCCCCAAATTATTCCATTTTCCCCCAAAATTCCACCTTTAAACCCCAAAACATCCCAAAATTCCAGTCGCACCTTCCTGCCCGGGGCCTCCTCGGAGCCTTCGGCCTCGTCCTCATCATCGCTGGGGGGCCTTCCCTGAGGGATTCGGGGACAAAAATGAGAAAAAAACCCAAAATTTGGGACATTTTGGGTGCCCCAAATTGGGGAGATGTTAAAAAATAGGGGAAATCCGAAAAAATTGGGAAAAAAACCCCAAAAATTGGGGGAAATCCCCAAGAATTGGGGAAAAAAATCCCAGAAATTGGGGGAAAATCCCCAAAAACTGGGGAAAATACAAATAATTGAGCAAAAACCCCCAAAATTGGGGAAAATCCCCAAAAACTGGGGAAAATACAAATAATTGAGCAAAAACCCCCAAAATTGGGGAAAATCCCCAAAAACTGGGGAAAATAAAAACAAAATTAGGGAAAAATCCCCAAAAATTGGGGAAAATCCCCAAAATTGGGGAAAAAAAACCCCTGAAAATTGTGAAAAAATCCCCAAAATTGGGAAAAAATCCCCAAAAGTTGGGGGAAACCCCCAAAATTGAGGAAAAATGCCCCTGAAATTGGGGGAAATCCCCAAAATTGGGAAACATCCCCAAAATGGAGGGAAATCCCCAAAAATGGGGAAAAAAATCTACAAAAATTGAGGAAAAATCCCCAAAAATGGGGAAAACTCCCCAAAAATTGAGAAAATTCCCGAATTCTGCACCTGCTTCTTCCCCTTGGGCTTCTCCTTTTTCAGGTTTTTCTTCTTCTTCTTCTCAGCCTCCTCTTCCTCCTGCAAAAGTCCCAAAATTTTGGGGGTTTTTTTGGATTTTAAGATTTTTTTGAGGGATTTTTGGGTTTTTTGGGGGAGATTTTGGCGTTTTATCCCAGAAATTTTGGTTTTTTTTCCCAGAAATTTTGGTTTTTTTCCCCTCAGCCACCCCCACCTTGCTGCTTTTGCCCTTGGCTGCTTTTTTCTCCTTCTCTTCCTCCTCCTCCTCCTCCTCTTCCTCGCTCTGCTCCTGGTTCAGCGCAGCAAAAACATTTCCACCCTAAAAATAAACCCAAAACCCCCCAAATTATTCCATTTTCCCCCAAAATTCCACCTTTAAACCCCAAAACATCCCAAAATTCCAGTCTTTTATTGACATTTTCCCCATTTTTTTCAGGATTTTACTTCAAAATTCCCATTTTGGGGGATTTTTCCCAATTTTGTGAAGATTTTCCTCTTTACTTTCTCAAGTTTTCCCCATTTTTGGGTGATTTCCCACCAGTTTTGGGGGGTTTTCCCATTGTTCAGGGATTTTTCCCACATTTTGAGATATTTTCCCACTTTTTCAGGGATTTCCCACATATTTTCAGGATTTTCCCCCATTTTGGGGGGATTTTCCCCCATTTTCCTCCATTTTTGTGCATTTTCCCCTATTTTTGTGCATTTTCCCCCATTTCTGTAAATTTTCCCCCATTTTTGTGCATTTCCCCCCCATTTTTATGGGTTTTCCCCTCATTTTCCCCATTTTTGTGAGTTTTTTCCCCCATTATTCCCCTCTTTCCACCCACTTTTGTGCAACTTCCTCCTTTTTAGTGCATTTTTTTCACTTTTTTTCTCCATTTTCCCCCACTTTTGTGGGGGTTTTTCCCCCATTTCCCCCATTTTTCCCCATTTTTGTGAGTTTTTTTCCCCATTTCCCCCCATTTTTATGCATTTCCCCCCATTTTTGTGGGTTTTTCCCCCATTTTTGTGGGTTTTTCCCCCATTTTTGTGGGTTTTTCCCCCATTTCCCCCCATTTTTGTGCATTCTTTTCATCTTTTTTCTCCACTTTCCCTCATTTTTGCGGTGTTTTCCCCCCCATTTTCCCCCATTTTCCCGGGTTTTTCCCCCATTTTCATGGATTTTTTTCCCCCTTTTCCCCCCATTTTTCCCCGTTTTTGTGCATTTTCCCCATTTTTATGGAGACTTCCCCCCAATTTTTGTGCGTTTTCTCCCCATTTTGTGGTGTTTTTTCCCCCATTTTCCCCGTTTTTGGGTTTTTTCCCCCATTTCCCCTCACCTTTCCCCTCCTGCCTCCCCTCCTCGCCGCCGGAGCTGTGGGCAGATTTCGGGGGGTCACCCGGGGGTCACCCGGGGGTCACCCGGGGGTCACGAGGGGTCTCCCACCCCCAGACCCCCCATCCCCTTCCAGAACCTTCCTCCTCCTCCTCCTCCTCCTCCTCGTCGGCCGCGGCCGCCAGGGCCTGCAGGCGCCGGCTAAGCTCCGCCTCCTCGGGCTCAGGCTCCGCCCCCCGCGGCCGCCGCCCCTCCTTGCGCCGCTCCCGCTTCCGCCGCGACCCCTGCGGGTAATTAGCAGCCGGTATGCTAATTAGCTCCTCGTTAGCTGCTTGTGACGGAGCCTGGATGGGTTTGGCCCCGCCCACTTTAGCACCGCCCCTTTAAGCCCCTCCCCCTTTGCCCATTTAGCCCCACCCCTCTAAGTCCCACCCCTTTGGCCCCTCCCCTTTCTCATTTGCATATTTTAGCCCCACCCCTTTAAACACTTGCCCGTTTAGCTCCTCCCCCTCTAAGCCCC